TAGCTGCCAACTGGCGAAGAAGCTTCCTTGTCAAGATGCCAAAATAGGGCAACTCAAGCTTATAGCGCCGCACTATGTTTCTGTCCATTCCGAGATACATATTAGACCACTTCAGCGTGCAAAGACTGAAAGGTGCCCTGAACAGGCTGGATTCATGAAAGAGAAACCATGCTCGGTTGAAGTTTCAACACTACGAATCACAATCGAAAAGAGCCTGGAATAGATCTCAACTCTGAAAAGACCTTAGACACCATCGACCGATAAGTAACTTGAAAACTGCTTCAACACTAAGGAATGTAGTACTACATATATTTATAAAATTCATTCAGCAGAGATACAATGATGTCGCATGTTAAGTAATTTAGAACAGAAGGCTCTCCAAAGCCTTTGAAGTCAAGACAGAAATGAAACAAGAGCAATTATTATAATCAATATTTCTGATTGTGATGAACAGGAATACGCAGAAGACAGGCTTGGAAAAAGAAACAGGGAGATGTTGATTACGCAGATGAATTATGTCTCAAGACACATTCAAAGATATACAAGTGAAAACCAAGTGAAGTTGGCAGACGAGGCTGAGTAGACAGGACAGGGGTGATGAAGACACCCGACCAATGAAAATGAACAGCAATCACTATCATCAATGACGGAAACCTAAGGGAAGCCATCTCTTCCACTGGGTAGCATTATTTAAACTTTAGACGGCATAAATGAGAATACCATATCCAGAATCAAGAAAGCAAGACAACTGTTCAATAGTCTTAAATCAGTGTGAAGATGGACAGAACTTAGTATAACAAACGATTCCCAAATTCTCAACACTAATGTCAGTGCCTGCATATACTTCATCATGGAAATCATACCCCCAACAGATTGCTGCAAACTTTCATCAACTTTTATCGACCTTACTTAGATATTGACGATCAGATGAATAGAGGTAAAAAACAACAAGGAACTTCGGGAGTGAACCGACTTAACTCCTATTGGAAATACACTGAGAAGACCTTCAAATGACATCAAACACCAGACACACGCTTGAATGAAAACCGAATGAAGCAGTGGGTTGGGAGTTTGAGTGTGACATGGAGAAGATAATGTGAGTAGAAGATAAAAGCTTGTAGGTGGTCGTCACGCCAGTTTAAAGTAATGGCAGAAAGCAAGTGCAACGGGCTTGTGCAACTGAAGCCCTATATTCCACCCGGAATGAATAATATAATAACAAATACAACAATTTACCAATGATGGAAGTCGTTTATATTATAATGCCTTAATATAAACATATAAATTGAACAGCTAACTAGTTATGGCCATGTAAAGCATCTGTTTGTCACTTTACACAGTTCAACTCCCTTCATCTATATTGACAATACAATCAAATCATACAGTAAAACAAAAGATTTTATGCGCATTATTCATTATTATATCGTTGTCAGTGAAGATATTAGATGACGTATTCGATTTTGAACCAAAAGTCTAAGAGGTTAGAACTCGGCTTTGCTGAACTATTTACGACTATTTTCTTAACACCACAAATCCTAATACAGTCCTGTAGCTCATGGCCTTGTATAAACACATGGACATATAATTGCTATAATGCATATGGAATTCACTCCACGTGAAAGCACTTAACTACTACTACTATTCATCGTAAAACGTTTAGTAGAACACTTCTTTTCATAATATTTTCACACTTAACTTATTTGCTAAGACATCACGTATACGATCTATCAACATTTAACGATATTAGAATAAATCTTTGAACTATGTGACCAACTTAACTAAATCTTCACTTTGACCTTATAATCATCATATGGATGATGACTCAGTCTAATCTGTTTGAGTTTGACCTACTTTTGAGTAAAAACACAACCACGCAGGTAACCATTATTAAATTCATTAATATTACTTATTATTGTCATTATTTTCATTTTTCATTCACAGTTAACTATATACCGTAACAACAGTAATGTTAAATCAGTGCTGCTACATATTTCGCAGACCTGGAGCGAACGTTATCTGAAAGCATTTCCAACAGACTGATGCAGACTGTCATCAACAGCTGCATCTTCTGTCTCCATACTGAAGATCGAATGGTCAGAAGGAAAGGATGAGCAATAAAAGGGACTCTGCAGTGCAACGAACCAACCAAGAACCTATCACCCAAATAAATACACAGAAGGAAATGGAAGTGGATTGGGCACACACCAAGGAGGCATCATACGACAAACAAATCTTCCAGTGGGACCCAAAAGAGAAACGACAAGTTGGGCGTGAATCCGAAGTTGACATGGAGGAGATTATGTGAACAAGAAATGAAAGCTTAAGGGGAATCGTGCAGTCAGTTAAACAAGACTGCAGGGAATAGAGTGAAGTGGTGTGCTATTGAAGCTTTACCCTTCATTCGGGTCCAAGGGAATAATGGTAATAAATTATTCCGTTAGTATTACTAATTTCGAGATGAATATTTTAATGTTACTGCTGTCGAGAATTCAAAACGCTTACATAACATAGTTCTCCAGTACAGGTTTTTGTACACCGGGTTGGGAGTTACATATCCTCTAAGAGCCTACGATGACATCCTATGATATGAGAATGTGGATGTGGATCTGAGATATATTCAATTCAAGTGTCTGATTGAGTGTTATGTATAAGTTCTTTTACTGCTATTCAGTCTTTGTTGTAATACATACCACAATTTATGCAATACATAGAAGGTAAGAGTTTGTTGGAAAATGTAATTACGGTAGAGGGCTGGTTTTGCTCACATTTCTAAAGACAAAACAACATTTGAGCTGGAAATCTCTTTCAAAAGCTTTCTCCTGTAGATACTATTTCTGAGTTTCTACTAACCTGGTCTTATAGTTGGGAATGCAGTGATATTCAGTTAAACTTCTTTTCAAGAAGCGATTATAGTGTGACCGGGGAATGTGCTACGTGTTGATGTGTCTGTGGTTATTTTAGAGTACTGATGTGAGTTTCTCCAGTAATTTTAAAATACGTTATCACGATATTTTGCTTGATCATGTTTACCTTGTAATAAGGATAATGAATACGGAAAAAATACAAGTTGACACCATACTATCCTACAGTTAAGTTAGTAAAATTTTGTTAGCATATGTTTATGCTTCATATCTTGATGAGTGTTGTCTAAAAGAATTTACCTTATAGATTAATACTATATATGAATTAAGACGCTAATAGCTAATATTTAATATAAAACTACGCTGATAACCGGGATTTATCTGTGATAACCTCCCAGATGATACAAGCAAGTTAAAATGGCTAGCACAAATGTTACACATGCAAAGCCACCGCCTCCGTCGACAGGCTATGTTATCTGACATAGGACCTCTTTGAAAAATAGGAGCGATCCAATCAAACACGCCAACAGCCTATGAACATTTTGATTACTGGTCTGAGTCACATATGGAGGCGTTGACTTCCTGGTTGGGGTCGTCGGGACGGTAAAAGCCAATGAAGGCTGCAGAAAATTGGTGATATGGCTTAAAATCGTGATGGTCTTCTGAGTACCAGTTCAACTAGTTACATTTCATGTAGATCATAGAGGTAGAGAAAAGAGCGAAAAAAGAAATTCAAGGAAACTATACTGAGCGGAAATGTAAGTTAGGAAGTATAGTAACATGGGAAAACATGAGGATTTAATGGATTTGAGAGACCACAAAAAGTTGATACATCTGCACCATTCAGAATCGTCCTGAGCCGTAACAACAGTAGTCTCCAACCATCGAATCTTAAAATCCCGATGATCCCTATCAGGCGTGGCTCAAACCAACTATCGAAGACTTTGCGGAGTGACTACTCCAGGTTTGATCACCCCTGATTCTCCAAGCCAACCATATTTCAGCTAACATCGCCCGTCGAGGAAGACAGCACAGCACATGTCTAAGCCATCTCAATTTATGCAGTTTCTCAATCTCATCCATTGAATTACCCTCCCTACTCAACACCACACTTGATATTATTCATCATATTATACCGCTTAACACGGGAGAATGAATGCAAACATCTGTGGTCAAAGATAACTAGCATCATCATATCTTCAACTTTCAATGACCATGTCTCAGACCCAAAGGAGAACGGAGCGAACTGCTTAGTAATGCACTTCCCTTAATGGATAGCCGGGTATCACGTCTAATCCAGAGATGATTTACGTTAGCAAATGCCACACGAGTCTTTCGTATCTGTGCTGAGAATTCGTCAGCAATCACTTCGTCAAGGATGATGCAACTTTCCAAATGAGTGAAGTGGTCAACAGGCTTTACCACTTTCCCCTCTATCTTTAAGCTATGAATTGGTGTAGTCCAGTCATACAGCATTATCTTACATTAGCTTATAATGTCACCAAACATTTGCGTAAGTAACAACAACCAACAAACACATGAAAATATATGAAATCACAGAAAGTCGGAAAGGAAATGAAGACATGAAGGAAACGCAGATATGTGACATCACAACTTAGATGAAGACAGCATAAACACAGGACACTGAGAGACATTCACAGCATAAACGACACCAGACATTCGTTTGGTAAACTAGATCATACAGATAACAACTAGTCTATTGCGACAAGGCGGAATCTGTGCTGGTTAACTGGTGTTTATTATTATTGCTTCTGATCTATGACAGTCAACCTCCATTATTAATGAAACCAGTGCTATATTCACTTCAAAACACTAATAATCGCCACTGATTGACAGATGTTTTTGATTTAGGAAAAGCCATTTACAGACAAAAGACAAAATGTATAAAAAGCACTACTGTCTAAATCAATATTCATTCAATTACTCTCCATGCTTCCGTTATCTTTAAAAAGAAAATATCAAGACTAAGTACTTGCTGTGACAGGTGAAAGAGACCTAATTTCTTTAAACAATTTATTTTAAAAATACAGGTTACAGTTTGGAAACTAGGATATAAAACTGCATACTTTTACATTTCGGGTTAGAGTTAGTCAATTATAACATTGAACTGAGTCTTACCCCAGTTGTATCGACGCTGACTGTTTCCTCGAAATCATTTACATGTGAGGAATTGCGAATTCGATGACTAGAATGTGCTGGAACTAGCTGCATTGTGCATAATTCATCTGAAAGTAGGGGAGTTCGGCCTTCACTTTCTTCATTATCTAGTAAATGAGTAATAGCTAGCAGAATAATATTTACCTGAATATGAATACATAATCTACAGCACCAGTGAGAAATCACTATCACAATGTTTAGTGATTATTCTGAAAATTAAAAAATAAATGTTTGATATCCTCAAATGCGAACAGAAAGAAACAGTCTGAGTAGGTTTGCCCTTAACATTATCACAATAACGGGAAGCAGGTGTTAATCCCAAATACCATTATCACGCATATCATTCGACACTATGCTCAAGTTTCTCCTTTACTTTCTTACTACTATTTCTTATTTACATTACCAGCAAGTCTACACCCTCAATTCCACCCAGGCTGCTTTGTTCACCGGTACAAAGATGTACCGAAACACTAATTAAAAAAAACAATATTTGTTAATCGGACATTTGCGCAAGTAGGGTCAGATTTAAAGTCTTGGGATATCTACAAAATAAGTGTTATATGACCGCAGAGCCGCGGAGACGGACTAAACATGGTCTCTTTGAAGTGATTTTCAAAGTTGTCTGTTTGAAAATCTGACCACCGGCTACGGACCGACCCGAAATGAGTCGGACAGTACAATTTCGAGGGCCGGACTATTCTAACCCTATCTTTTCAGAGTGAGGAGGCAGCATGCCTGGCTTGCTGCTCGTCCACAGGAAACAGATTGCTTGTGTTACACTCCTACTGGCCAGCAGTACGGTTTCCCCGCATACTGTCGACAGACTGTAAGCAACTTACACTATGACAGTACTTGCTTTTACTCTAATAGCCATCCAAACGAACTTTCTGGTAGAGTAGAACCTGGAAGATTGTTTCAGCCAACGTAGCTTGTTAGACTATTTGGATATGCAAGCACGACTGCCAATTCAAAGTAACAGCTACCAGTCATGAACTCTATACTCAACTAAAAGTGAAGTTTAATAGTACTTTCAGAAATCACCATTATGCAATATTCAAGTGTGATTATTAGAGATGGTTCCTGCTTACCGTATGAGTTTAAGGCTGATCTGCAGTCATTTCGGGACTTAGAGGAAAGAGGGAAATCGAAAATAATACGTAAGTTGTTCTTTTTCCTATCACTACACACAATCATTCAGTCCAAGAGTGCATTCATAGTTGTTTGTATTGTGAAAATGGTAATCAGAAATTCAACTTTCTTGATTAATGAGTCCTGATAATTATCTGCACAATGGGAAAAGATGCCTTGAATTAAACATGTATTGCGAGCTTCGTAAAAAGCAGGCCTTATGGGAAACAAAAGTGATCAGTCCCCTTTTCAAAAATACTGTAGGTATTAATTCATCCTCTGCCCCAAAGCAAGATAACTGTAAAGCCATCCAGTCTCTTTAAGTAGACCTCGTAGAGTAGATAAGGCAGTTTACGCCTACCTCAACATAAACTACTTATTTCTTTTGGAATATTCTTACATGACGACTAGTAGATCTTCATTTTGGGTATGGTAATGATTCCAACAGAGTTGCAAGCACGCGCGTCAGACCATTGCTCGAGTGGAACCCGAAAGGGAAGCGGTGAGTGAGATGTCAGTGCGAGGGTGACATAAAGATCATGTGAAGGGGAGTTGAGACAGTATGGACTAACATGGATGCAGGTGAAAAGTACATCAGAAGCAAGTGGAGACGTGCAGTTGAAGCCCTATAGTCCACTAGGAACCCAAGGGAACAATAATAATAATTTAGCGTATATAGTACATAACTGCCTACAGTACGAATTGATCTGTGACCGAACTCACTGGTCGTCTAGAAGCGTTCATAATTCTGAGAAGAGTGACACGCAACCAACAAGAAAAGAGCGACGGCACTAGCTAGATAATGTGATAGGTGTATGAATTCCTAAATTCAGATGAGTAGGCTCTTGTGGCCTGTGTTAATCCTTGCAAAATATGTCTCTGCAGAAACATAACTTCTCTCTGAAAGCGTCCACCGATGGAGCCGATACTACTGAATCGGGTAAAGATTTCTAATCGTTGACCACTCTGTGAGAGAATCTAAATTCCGCACGTATTTTAATCGTCCTCAGTTTGAGCAGCCTTTTACGGTGACCCCGTAAATGTATCCTAGAAGGGGAGAAAAGGTTAAAAAGGTCAGTTCTTAAATCATCCTTAAGTACACGGTATGCTAACGTTAAGTCGCCTCTTCCTTCGGTATGATAACGGGAAGAGGTTTAAGTGTTTCATCCTTATGTCATAAAGGAGTACTGTTTTCCGAAAGGTTTTATAACTGTCACTTCGGTATGATGGGAGAATAGTTCTACCCTAAGATCTCACCGTTACTTATTCTCAAACATAAAACAAATTGGCAATGGATAAAGGCACACACGACCTTATGTAGAGGCTGAGCACCTCAAGGTCACATATGCGTACTGTGATTGGTAGATTTTGAAAGAGGCTACAGTCAGTTTCAAGGTCATGATGAGTTCCTGCGTCGGCTGGTTATATGTTTTCGTGAATTCGATTTCCATTGAATTTTAAAGGTTTTTTTGCATGTTTTTCCCATTTAGCAGTGTGTAGATCAGTTTATGACACTGGATACTACTCTTAAGGTGATTTTTAGCCTAAAGTTCGCAGTTTTTATGTTGGTAGTCAAGGGTTATGCTGAACCTTTAATGATTCAGCCAAATAAGGTAAACTTTTATAATATAGTAACCTTATTCAATAAGTAAACTGCCTAACCGTTCTGCTATTGTTTGAGATTAAAACTAAGAGCTGATTTCTTATCATGATTGAAAGTAAATGGAACCGACTGGGTTTGCTTATCCGCTCTGTTCCATCCCTCACAGGACAAATTAGTTTCGAACTACCGTTATTTCAGAACTAAAAGACTCAATTCAGCACCTAGGTATCATTGTAAGCATGACCAGCGTTATTTGAGAAAATGGTGGGTAAATAAGAGCTTCATTTACCATAAAAAGGCCTTATCGATGAATAGGTTAGAATAAGTTTATGAATATAGTAGGCTTGGTGGTGTTGCGGTCTAAGTGATAAATCGTATTAATCACCGTTATTCATGATATGCTATGAACCGCAAATGCTCGGCTGAAAAACGTAGTAAATAAGGCACAGATCGTTTTAATTTGTAAGTGACTTTCAAAGCGCTCTCTTAACGAAACAATCAACCAAAGTATTCTTTAAACTGTCGGTCTTAGCCTTTTGAAAGGAAAGGAAGTGTAACTGCAGTTTATACATACATGTTTATATTCTGAATACAAATGGAAATAAAAAGGTAATACAAATATTTTCACAAAAATAATCGATTAACAGGGGCACATCGTAATCTTAAAGTTGTTTGCGGTTCATTTGCTAGCAAACTGTCCAACCTTCTGGTAAACTCCGCTATTTCCCGCAGTGCAGCATCCGGATTTCTTCGGTTCAGACTGTTGAGACGACATCTTAAGCGTTCATAAGCATTTCGAAACGCGTTGTTTGGTTCCGGTATTAACCGGATGGCCCTCGGAATGTTGTCCGTTGTGTTATATACACGTGTCCACCTCTCACTATTCCTCAGAATATCTAAGAGTAACATTTAAAGAAATGGAACATACCACAATTTAGATATGAGTTCAAGAACGCCTCAACGACATGTGCACAAGGCAAATTGTATGCGCAGTATGTCCAACATGTGCATTTCGCCTCGTTCCTGTTTACGAAGAATATGTGACCACCTTCTGCGTAAACAACTGAGGTAGAAGATATTGAATGGAAGAAGAAGGAACGCCTTTGTAAATCTAACACAACTTTCTGGGCAGCAAACGGTGTGAGACTCCGTAAATGAGACTTCAGGGAATTAGGTACCTAGGATAAATCGTAAATTATCTTCGAACTTACATCGTAATTGTAGTATTTAGCAAGCATCCACTGGCCCTGACGTATTTTACGCATGGTTGTGTGGTCGATCCACCTCCATATTTTCCATAGCGTCAGTTCCATAGGATCACCTTTACGTAGATATCTTTTCAACTGCCTATGAGCATTCTCAACTCTGTTGTTAGTATTGTTCCCCATGCTGATGGTGAACCTGTTGCACGATGCAGCCCAATATTTGCGTGTTCTTAGCCAGTACCTTCTAATGTAAGCACCAGCCTCAGCGTCTACAATACTTATGAGGTTTAGGTAACGCCAAAACCTTTGGCAATATACTCTGATTTGCTAACCTACCTGTCATAACTGCGCGTGTGCGCCATTCGATACAACCACTTTTTAACAAGCTGGTTTGGGAACTGTTTTCCCTATGTCAGTTAATGGGAATGTAACTTACCTTCCTTCTGAATGCCTGGCATACATGGAAAAGACACAAAACAATATTGCAACTAGGGAATTCCTCCTTTAGGGCTTTCATCTGTGCAGTTGCACAGTCGACAGTGAATGTTAATGTTTTCGATGTATCCACCATAAATCTCTTAAACGTTTGCAATATCTCCTTGATATCTGCAAACGTTTCTCTCCTAGTAAGAGCAAACAAAACAGTCCTTCCTCTTCCGAATCCATCAGTCACAACAAACTGATATAAAGGCCATCTGTAACAAATTTGGAAAAGGAATTATACCTTGTTGTACTGAAACTTACCCCATCTTATTCGTTTTGTAAGTACAATCGATTCCAACTACTTCTGGAAACTTATGATACACGTCTATCATATCATTACGAGCAAAAATGATTTTAGATACAAAGCCTGCGTTGTCCTGCAAAACTTTAACTGGACCTGTCTGCCTCAGTCGATGAAGCAGCTCTTCCAAACAACCAATTTCTATTCTACTGCACCATTTATTTTGATAGGACTTACGTTTATTTATCTTAGCCCGCATGTTTTTAATATCGTTATACAGGAGCGCTTTTCCGAACTTCTCATGTGCTAGATCCATGATTTCATGGACATCAGTATTCCTTTCAATGAACGGTTGGATAATTGCCATTTCTTGTGATGATAACCGACGTCTAGATACATCGGTGGACATAAAACTTGCTGTGCAGGGATGGTTATGCACAGTTTTGTACTTGGTTATCATGTATACGTTGGATTTCCGCTGGACTAGAATTATTGACTGA